GTTCAGAATACTCTGATTGTATAAATCCCAGTAACTACAACTCCTAAATATCAAGGTGAACTACATCTCCCAAACTCAAGGTCAATGCCCACCAAACCCTTCCAGTATTTTCTGTTGGTCATGGGAGTTCTGTGTGCCAAGTTTGGTTCAATCCCATCATTGCTGGAGTTCAGAATACTCTGATTGTATAAATCCCAGTAACTACAACTCCTAAATATCAAGGTGAACTACATCTCCCAAACTCAAGGTCAATGCCCACCAAACCCTTCCAGTATTTTCTGTTGGTCATGGGAGTTCTGTGTGCCAAGTTTGGTTCAATCCCATCATTGCTGGAGTTCAGAATACTCTGATTGTATAAATCCCAGTAACTACAACTCCTAAATATCAAGGTGAACTACATCTCCCAAACTCAAGGTCAATGCCCACCAAACCCTTCCAGTATTTTCTGTTGGTCATGGGAGTTCTGTGTGCCAAGTTTGGTTCAATCCCATCATTGCTGGAGTTCAGAATACTCTGATTGTATAAATCCCAGTAACTACAACTCCTAAATATCAAGGTGAACTACATCTCCCAAACTCAAGGTCAATGCCCACCAAACCCTTCCAGTATTTTCTGTTGGTCATGGGAGTTCTGTGTGCCACGTTTGGTTCAGTCCCATCATTGCTAGAGTTCAGAATACTCTTTGATTGTATAAATCCCAGTAACTACAACTCCTAAATATCAAGGTGAACTACATCTCCCAAACTCAAGGTCAATGCCCACCAAACCCTTCTAGTGTTATCTGTTGGTCATGGGAATTCTGTGTGCCACGTTTGGTTGAATTCCCAGCAACTACAACTCCCAAATGACAAAATAAAAAAAATTGAGTGAAGAACATACATTTGGTTGTTAGGTGTCTTGCGTTCAAATTTGGTGTCATTTGGCCCACTGGTTTTTGAGTTCTGTTAATATCACAAACAAACATGACGTTTTTATTTATATAGATAATCATTTTCTATCATTATTACAGACTCTTTTTCTAAAGTACGCGCATTCCATATATATATATATATTTCTTTCCATTTTGCAATATGCTAACCGAGTCCTCTCTCCGCAGCGGTGTCCCAGCCAATGCCGACCGACTGCAGCCCTTCCTTGCAGGCGCCTTCGCCCGGCCACCGCATGCTGCCGCCTGCGCAGGGCATCCTGCAGAACGCCTTGGGGCCCGGCATCTCCTCGCCCGCCGTGAACCAGAGCGGAGGGCCGATGGTCATGATGCCCCACAACCCCGGCAAGCCGCCGGCGATGTTCCCCTCCAGTTCCGATTTTGGTCTCCCGCTCCGGCCGAGCCAAAACTCCCTTGGCATGAATTCCGGGTGCCAAACGGTCCACAGCCACCCGGCAGCCCGGCCGGGGATGCCGTTGTCCGGCTTTGCTGCCGACCCCTTGGCGAGCCACCCTTCCGCCCAGCAGCACTTGCGGCAGCCGACGGTGCCGAGGATCCCGAACGTCTACTCCAGCTCCTCCGCTCAGATGTGGACCACCCCGACGGGAGTCCCTCGGATGCCGAACCAGAACCAGATGGAGGCCAACATGCAGCAGTTCTCCGGCAACCCTCTCTTCGCAAAGCAGAACCTCGCAAGGCCCGGCATCCCCGGCCAGCCGTTTCCCCACCCGCCGCCAAATCAGATTGCTCCAGGCGTCCAAGCCAGACAAATACAGAAGGTCAACTTGGGGCAGCCCAGCCAAAACTTGGGCCCTCTGAACAACCAGAACCTCCGGCACAGTTTGACCCGAGGGCCTTTGCCGGCTGCCATGAACGCCATGAAGCCTATGCCGCAGGGCGTGGTGCCCGGCTTCAGCCCGCTCAACCCCGCTCCGCCGGTGGGCCTGCCCAATTATCCCGGCTCGGCCGGACAGTCGTCGGGAGCGTTCGGCAGGATGAGCAGCGCCGCCACCGCCGAGCTGCCTCCGCAATATGACTTCGTCGCCCAGCAAAACCATTCAGTTCTGCCCGGAAACTGCAGCGAGGCTGACTTTATTGACTCGCTCATGAAGAACAGCGGCAGCGGCAGCACCGACGAAGACTGGCTGAACAATTTGACAATGATTGATGACATTTTGGGGCAGCACATCCAAAGCTCTGGGCATGTGTAACTCTGGAGGGAGGCGGGCGGATATGTAAATAGGTGGTCCACAACACGGAAGAATATCACATACACACACAAAAAAACACACAAAACCCTCCTCTTCTTTCAGTGTCAAACGAACGAACGTGCCCAACGAATTCTCCTCCCTGTTTTTCAAAAGGCTGTGTATATATATTTGAATATTTTGTAAATTATGTTTTCCTAAACATTAAATATGGAAGTATTGAGACTTCTCTGCTGGACTCTTTGTAAATAAGTTGTAGACTACTCCCAACTCTTTGTTTTCTTACGTTGTCATAGGAATCGATTTATTACACTCTGTTCTAAATATGCAAATATTATTGCTAGTTTCAGTAATACTGTGTATTACAGCATCCGATATTTTTATGTTTTTGACATAACATATGAATTCGGGGTGTCCCAGAAAACGGAGTCAACAGGAAGCAAGGCTCGCGATCCTCCCTACCTCCTCCCACGAGAATGTTAGCGTTATGGTTAAGCAGCTCTACGTGCCAACTACTCTTTTCAACAGTGTTTTTTGCCCAAGGATGCTTTTAGATCGGGCATGGGCCAACTTCGGTCCTCTCTCCAGGTGTCTTGGAGTGCTGGGCCCATAACCAATGTCAGGCTCTGTTGCAAGGAAGCTTCCTCTACACCAGGCACAGACCAACTTTGGCCCTCCAGGTGTGTTGGACTTCAACTCCCACAATTCCTAACAGCCTCAGACCCCTTGCTTTTCCCTCCCAGCCGCTTAAGCTGAGTGCTGGGCCCATAACCAACGTTGCCTGTGTGGCGTGCAAGGTAGCTTTCTCTACACCAGGCACAGACCAATTTCAGCCCTCCAGGTGTCTTGGACTTCAACTCCCACAATTCCTAACAGCCTCAGACACCTTGCTTTTCCCTCCCAGCCACTTAAGCTGAGTGCTGGGCCCATAACCAACGTTGCCTGGGCGGAGTGCAAGGAAGCTTCCTCTACAGCAGGCATGAGCCAACTTTGGCCCTCCAGATGTCTTGGACTTCAACTCCCACAATTCCTAACAGCCTCAGGCCCTTTCCTTTTTCCCCTCGACTGCTTAAGCTTCGATACTGTAGGGTGGGCATGAGCAAACTTTGGCCTTCCTGGTGTTTTGGACTTTGTGGCTTTATAGTCCTTAAAGGATTGTTTTCTTAAGAGTCAGATCAGGCAACACTGCGTTATTGTGTGGATCTTGTTGCATGTTCAGATATATGTCTAAGATCTTTGGAAAAGTCTTGCACTCATGCTTAAGCAGCTGAGGGGGGAATGGAAAGGGCCCGAGGCCAGGAATTGTGGGAGTTTAAGTCCAAAACACCTGGAAGGAGGGCACAAGTTTGTCCATGCCTGGTCTATGGAAGAGCAAACATGTTACTAAGAGAATTTGGGACGATGCCCAGGTTTCTCATGCAACTTCTCTGCACCGGAAAAGCATGCAAGCGCAAAAAATATGGGTCTTGTTCCTCGGAGATTGGTTTTTCATCAAGCTTCCTGGTTTGCCCAGCTCGGCCACGTATATTGGTATATTGGACAGGTGACGCACTCCTGGTTCCAAAGCGTTTGGGGTCAGCTCTGTCTTCAATCGGAGGAGGCTCCCTTCCCCTCCTTGGCCCCAGAGAAGATGTCTATGAACAGCAATTAGCTTAAGACTTTGATGTTTTTTCTGTCCTCTGTATATTTAAGAGTCTGTTTATAAAAGGAAACCCATTGTACCGCAAACAACAACTTCTTCTTCTCCTTCTTCTTCTCCTTCTACTTTGTGTAATCCTCTTTGGATAGCCGCGTCACCTTCCATTTGTACGATCACACCCACCTCAAGCACACCCAAGTGTTTTCTCCTTCAGACCATAATAAACTGCCAGGGAAAAATTGCACTCACTGCATGTTCTCATTTTTCCCCTTATTTCTTTTCCTGTTTTTTTTTCTATAGAAGCAGCTATTTATTTATTTATTTATTTATTTATTTATTTATTTATTTGCTATTCAAACATATATGCCGCCACTCCCCTGAGGCTTGCTGGTCGCTTCTGTGGCGAGAGAATCAGCCGTCTATGAAGACGTTGCCCAGGGGACGCCCGGATGTCTTGCAATCCTGCGAGGAGGCTTCTTTCATGTCCCCCAAGCATCCCAAACTCTGAGGATCACCTGGGAAGGAATCCCACTGGAGCATTGCAGTGCACCCAAATACCTGGGAGTCACTCTGGACTGTGCTCTGACCTACAAGAAGCACTGCCTGAACATCAAGCAAAAAATGGGCGCTAGAAACAATATCATACGAAAGCTGACTGGCACAACCTGGGGATCACAACCAGACACAGTGAAGACATCTGCCCTTGCGCTATGCTACTCTGCTGCTGAGATGCATGCCCAGTGTGGAACACATCTCACCACACTAAAACAGTGGATGTGGCTCTTAATGAGACATGCCGCATTATCACAGGGTGTCTGCGCCCTACACCACTGGAGAAATTACACTGCTTAGCCGGTATTGCACCACCTGACATCCTCCGGGAAGTAGCAGCCAATAGTGAAAGGACCAAGGCAGAGACATCTCCAGCTCATCCCCTGTTTGGGTATCAGCCAGCACGTCAACGACTTAAATCTAGAAATAGTTTTCTAAGATCTACAGAGACACTTGCCAGAACACCTCAACAAGCGAGAGTCCAAAAGTGGCAGGCTCAAACCCAGAACCTCAACCAATGGCTGATACCAAATGAGAGACTCCCCCCTGGGCACACAGAAAACTGGGCAACTTGGAAGGCGCTGAACAGACTGCGCTCTGGCACCACGAGATGCAGAGCCAACCTTCAGAAATGGGGCCACAAAGTGGAATCCTTGACATGCGAGTGTGGAGAAGAGCCAACCACTGACCACCTGCTGCAATGCAACCTGAGCTCTGCCACATGATGCACAAGGGAGGACCTCCTTGCGGCAACACCAGAGTCACTCCAAGTGGCCAGAGACTGCTCAAAGCACATTTAATCAACTACCAAACTCACAAATTTTGTATTTTTCTGTTTTTTTGGTTTTTGTTTTGCTTTGTTCTGTTAGAAATGTAATATAATCGACTGGTTGCACTGACACGATAAATAAATACAGGGGAGCAGCTTACAAGAACAGGCTAAAATCTAACACAGTTTAAAAACAATTTCAAACAATTTAAAAACAGCCATGTCAGAGATCAAAGACCTGTCGAAACAGGTATGTCTTGCATGCCCTGCGGAAAGCTGGTAAGTCCCACAAGGCACGGACTTCAGGTGGCAGAGCATTCCAGAGCGATGGTGCCACTGCTGTGAAGGCTCTGCGCCTGGTTGCTGTTAGACGCAAGGTCTTGACACTGGGGACTTCCAATGGATCTTGGTCCTCAGAACGGAGGGATCTCTGGGGTTGGGAGGGGGAGAGGCGGTCCCTCAGGTACATCGGCCCCAGACCATGCAAGGCCTTCAAGGTGAGTACCATCCCTTTGAAAGTGATCCGGTGCTCAATGGGTAACCAATGCAGCTGGAGTCAGATTGGGGTGATGTGGCATCTCATCAGAATTCCCACCTGAATTTTGTACCAACTTGAGCTTCCAGATCACTGACAGAGGAAGGCCAATGTCGAGGGCGTTACAGTAGTCCAGTCTGGAGATGACCGTGGCCTGGGTCACCGTAGCGAAGTCGTCCCTGGACAGGGAGGGGCCCAGCCGTCTAGACTGCCACAGGGGAAAGAAAGAAGGCGGTTCTGCTCACGGCGGAGAGAGACCTGGGCCTCCATTGTCAGCAGAGGGTCCAAAAGGACTCCCAGACTCTTGACCAACGAGGACGGGCGTAACGCCTCGCCATCCAGGGTGGGCAGATGGATGTCCCCACTGCCCGGTCGACCCAGCCATAGGATCTCCGTCTTTGCCGGATTCACCCTCAACCTGCTGGCACGCAGCCATCCAGTCACGGCCTCGAGGCACTGATGGAAACAATCGGGTACAGAGTCCGGTCGGCCTTCCATCTTCAGCACCAGCTGAGTGTCATCGGCGTACTGGTCACACTCCAGCCCAAAACCTCGAACCAGCTGAGCAAGTGGTCGCATATAGATGTTAAACAAGAGAGGGGAGAGAATGGCCCCCTGAGGAGGAACCCCACAAGAGAGAGAGAGAGGGGGGACCTCTCAGAGACCAGGCTTCCCCTCTCCACTCGCTGTCCATGGTTGTGAAGGAAGGAGGGGAGCCACTTTAAAGCTCTCCCCTGACTCACTCCAACAGCAGCAAGGCGGTGGGTCAGAAGATGGTGGTCGACTGTGTCCAATGCTGCTGTGAGATCCAATAACACAAGCAGTGCTGACCCGCCCTGGTCAAGATGGCATCGAAGGCGATCCGTGATGGAGACCAGCACAGTCTCTGTCCCGTGCCCCGCACGGAAGCCTTCCCCAGTGAAATTAAACATATGTATAGATATATATTTGTATCTATCATACCTGCAGTCTTGATTTGAATGGATTTGTTTTGGAAAAGAGGAAAGCACACTCTAGGGAAGATTCTGTGGTCAACGTCTGCTGGAAGGTCATCTCTCTAGAAATCTCTCAGTCCTGCAATACAACTTTATGGAGGACCTAGAGAGGTGTACTCTCTATGATTCTATTGGAGAACACAGAAATGCTGGACCACTCTCACAACCACCATGTCAGACTACACAGAGAAGCCATTGAAATCCACAAGAAGCATGTGGACAATTTCAACAGAAAGGAGGAAACCATGAAAATGAACAAAATCTGGCTACCAGTATTAAAAAAACTCTAAAATTAGAACAGCAAAACAACAGAGAGGAAACAAACAAGGACATCTAATCACCTCTCAACAAAAGATTGCCCCAGGCACTGCCAGGCCATCAAATGCTAATCAAGGTGGTCAGTTGAAACATTCACACCTAGCTCCAACAGACCAGAGTTCTTTGTCCCACCCTGGTCATTCCACAAATACATAAACCCATTTTCCTTATTATTAGTATTAGTATTGGGATGTTGTAGGTTTTTTCGGGGTATATGGCCATGTTCTGGAGGCATTCTCTCCTGACGTTTCGCCTGCATCTATGGCAAGCATCCTCAGAGGTAGTGAGGTCTGTTGGAATGACCAGGGTGGGACAAAGGACTCTTGTCTGCTGGAGCTAGGTGTGAATGTCTCAACTGACCACCTTGATTAGCATTTGATGGCCTGGCTGAGCCTGGGAAAATCTTTTGTTGAGAGGTGTT